TGAGTATGCGCAAGGAGCCAGTTGTGATTTCCGTTCTGAAATACAGAGTTACAAAAACAAACCCGTGCTCCTCGACTTTTTATCATTTATTGCATCTTTGCATACAGAAAACATAACAATCGGGATTGGCTTTTATCTAAAATAGAAATGTTTTCTAAAATCGGCTCTTCTTTGTATTTTAGCAATCAAATATGTCTGTATTTTATTTCTTTTCTGTTTCTTTTCTGTAAGTCACATATTTCTATATGATTTTATCTATAGATTCAAATATATACGTCCATGAAGATCTTTTAAATCACAGGTAAATTAAATAATTATTTGATTTCTTGATACTCACCTATTTAATAAGATATTTATTTCCTGCAACAATTAAAAGCAATTTATAAGCTTAATAAAATATCTCATTTCCAAACAAAATAATTTTAAAATTATTTGGAATAAAAAGAAAATCTAAAAAAATAATAAAAATTAGCCCTTCAGTGGCGAAAGTACTTGCACGTACTGTAATCCAGCAAGTATTTTTATGTGTATATAGCCTCGACTTAAATTCAAGTTTTTCATCCATTCATCATATTAAGGAATATTTTCCTGCTCTATAGAAATTAATTAGGAATAAATAAGAAAAATACTGTACACTTACATACATATAATCATGATAAAAGAGCCCAGAAATGATCGCACGAAAAAAAAAGTGAGTGGAGGGGGGGGGGGGCTAGGTGGCATCAGTTTTATAACTGGTTTCATAATAATAAAACACAGTGCGATGTATTTTGGAAATCTACCAACTGACTTATTTTAACTAAATATAAAGTATAAGGATATGTGGAACAGTTGTCAAATCTTGAAAACGAAAATAGAAAAAAAATGTTTCACTAAATCAGTCGCCGCGTTGCGCAGTGGTTAGAGCGTCTGCTCTAGAGTCGGAGCTGATCCTTACGTCGTGGGTTCGAATCCACTGCGGGACGTGGAGACTGGTTCTTCGGATGAGACCGTGTAAACCGAGGTCCCGTGTCGTATTAGGTGTTGGCACGAAAAAGATCTCTCACTGCTCAATGGCCCTAAGTGCCGAGTATAGGCATACATTTGCAGCCCTCAACCGACAAGTGTTGGCGTCTCCATACGAGTGAAAAAATTCTCGTTAGGGACGTTAAACAACAAACAAACAAAGAAACAAACTGAATAATCTTCCGTTTTAGAGTCAGCTTGAAGTTGGGAGTCCAGCTGCAGTATTAGCAACATTTTCCTCATTAGGTTTTAAATTCTATAACTTTTTTTTCTATTTCAGTTTTTACATTTCTTTTTATTTAGTCAAAACAGAAATTGAACCATTGACACTAATAGTAATCAATTATTGCTATTTAGTGAAGCGGAATGTGACGAGTACTTCAGTTCTTTCAGCTGTTTAAACTTGTTTGGTCCGACAGTCGAGCAATCGTACTGCTGACTGCATATTTTAACGAGGCCGAGTTTAATTATTTCTTCCCTAGAGATTTTGATAAATTTTCTTGAATAAATTTTTACTATTATATTCATTGTTTTATTTAGATTGCTAGTATTTTTTTTTGTTGTTCTGTCAACAGTTTTTAGTAAAATATCCATGAACGTCTTGAACATACAAGCGAGTCATGTGTCATTCTTCAGCGTCATGCATTGCTTACAAAATCGGAAAACAGTGATGTCGTTAAAGCCATTTCAGCGGTTTTTTCCTAATTATGGTCTTAAAGCATAAATTCAGACCCAAAGGTGTTACAGATAATGTTAATTTTGTATTAAAATCACAATATTTGGCAAAGGTTAATGTCGCAAATATGACTGCACGAAATTAAAAAGCTGCGCAAAGTCATGCGCATTCGAATTAGACTCGGCCTCCTTAATATTACTGCATACAAATTAATTCAAGTATTAACAAGTAGAGCTTGACCGTCTTTAGCAACAACTCTAATCAATTAACTGACCTACACTTATCAGGCCGTATTATTGTTGAACAATTACTGGCTTTGTATTTCTTCTTTGGCTTTTTACTGACATAAGCCCTACCATGTGAAACTTCAACCAGACGCTCGGCTGTAAATTCCGACTCTGTTGCTGAGATTAGAAAGACGTTACTAAGCAAACGGGGGAAAAACACACAAATACAAGCTGCAAAGCTTGCATGCAATAAAGATCATTTTTGTTTCCAATGAAAATATAGAAACATTTTTTTAGTAATTGCTATGCAAAATAACGTGTTTTTTTTTTAGAATTAATAACTGCAATTTTCCTCTGGTCGTTTTGTCATTTTTTTCACGATTGAAAATTGAAATTTTGAAAAATTGTTAAGTTGTACGAAAATTAGATCACCAGAAAATTATCTCCCTTGCCTTGAACATCATTTCAACCCAATGGAATAATTGAAAATTTCCACTTCATGCAATTTCTACCAATCACAATAGAGAGGATGTGCATAGTCGAAGACTGTAAAAAAAACTCTCGATTTATATCATGATAGTACATGTAATTCATGTCAAATACATCATTAATTTACATTACGTGTAAACTTATTGATGGTTGAAGTAAAGTGTTTTGATTTTTGTAACCATACTTTAAATATCCTATTAAATACCCTTTGGAGAACCTCGTCTTACAACAGCACGTTAAAAATCAAGATATCACGTCTCTCTCTCTCTCTCTCTCTCTCTCTCTCAGCGTTACGAAAGACTAATGCATTTTAACCCTATCATTTACTTAGTTCGGCCGCAGACGTTGGGGTAGAGATCAAGCAGCTCTCCAACCTTGAATTTGTGTGCTTAAAACGATTATCAACCAAAAATGTTTGCATAAAGAATAATCCGCCTGATGATATGTGATTAAAAACAGCGCATGTACTCTTAAATAAGATAAAGCGATACGAAATATTTGAACATATTTTTCGAGTTTGTTAAATCAATACCAGGAAAAAGAAATCAAATTGTATTTTTCTTGTTTTCTTTTAATGTTTAACAATAAGTTATGAGTCTCAAAGCAACCTAATAGTGTACATTGTTTTTAATGAAATTGGACTAAACCCTCAGAGAAAGTAGCATTTTCACAGAAATTTTTAGTTATTAAATTAGTAAACATGACATACCGGTCGTCAAGATCAAATAAATCAAACCAAAACTTAAGAATTTCACAGAAATTGGTTTAGTAATTATGGTAAAATCACACTGATGTTTTGTTTTGAACATGCTCTTAGTTATTGGACCAAAACATTTCGGAAAGAAAAAGAGTCACAGAAAAAATACATTTTGGATATCATCACAAAACATTTATTGCAAATAAAACTAGTACTCATCTTGGACGATAGAGTTTATTAAAAGCCTTGGTAGGTTAAGGTTGTTGATAATCATATAATGTTCATATATTTTTTTTTTCTTTTATCAGGGTATCAAAAGCCACACTTTTAGCAAAATTTGATGTTTTTTTCTCCGATGGAATGAAAGAATAAGGATAGTGATGAAAGCATTAAGAAAAAAAACTGAATTGAAAATAAGAATCATTCAATCGCGTTTTATTTCATTTGTAATCTTAGAATGTTGTTTTTGTTGGGTTTTCTTCGCCTCTCTCTCTCTCTCTCTCTCTCTTGTTTGTTTTAATATATATATATATATATATATATATATATATATATATATATATATATATATATATATATATATATATATATATATATATATATATATATATATATATATATATATATATATATATATATTACATTTAATCAGTTTAAAACAGAGCATGAATTTTCATCTAAACATGTAATGTTATCAAAATAAATTTTAGCTTACCAAATAAAAATATGCATTGACATATATTGATAACATGGATCATCTTGACCTTTATGTGTACATAGAGAAGTTTATCGGCTTCTACGGGTGAACACGCCGCTTTGGTAAATAGAGAATAAAGTGTTACATGTATTATAATAACTTCCTGAAGAGTCCATCGATGAGATTCATTATAAATTTTTCAAAATGAAAACCAACACCAGAATTGTTACAATATGGATCGCATGGATTATTACATGCATTGGTAAGAGACCCAGTGGTATATCGTTGAACTTCTTTTGATTGTTCCTTATAATGATGATTTAGTAAAACATTGAAAAACCTCTTACTTAAATTATGTATTATGACAGAAAATAATGATTATTATTCTTTCATTTTTCTAAGTAAAAAGAATCCAATTGTTTACACCAGTACTTTTATTAAAATCCAAACACAGAGAAAGTAGTTTTGAATGAACGATTCTATCTACTTTCGATATTTGATGATCCTCTCTCTCTCTCTTTCTCATACACAATTTGCAGAAAATGGCTTCGTACTGTTCTGAACTTACATTGACATCAAATCACGTTGATACTGATATGGTTCCTTACTCTAATTAATAAAAACTAAATCCATAGTCAAAACTCGTTATCTCGAACTCAATCGGAGATATCCGAGGAATCGAGATATTAAGGTTAAAATACCAAAGGAATATGTGGTTGGGACTTCCAGATCACGTCGACATATGCATGGCATTCGAGATATAGGTCTTCGAGGTACCGAAGTTCAACTGTATATATATATATATATATATATATATATATATATATATATATATATATATATATATATATATATACAAGTGATTTTCGATGACTCGACAAGATCTCTCGAAGTAAAAGCCAGGTCACGTTTTCCCCTCTATATAACATAGCAAATTTACTCCCCATCTCTCGAACTTCTGATCTCTGTAAGTTCTCCAATTCTCTTGGGTGTTTGACAATAAACCTGTGTCCCTATCTATCTATCTATCTATCTATCTATCTATCTATCTATCTATCTGTGTCTGTCTGTCTGTCTGTCTGTCTGTCTGTCTGTCTGTCTCTCTCTCTCTCTCTCTCTCTCTCCATCTATATACATCTGTGCGTATACATGTACATGTATGTGTGTGTGTATTGTGAAAATATAACTTTAAGTATTTTTTATATAGTAATGGAGAGACAGAGGATACTTTTCGTGAAAAGTACCTTCACCGAAATTGGAACAGATAGCATGCTAGTCTCTGGTTCAATATCAAAACCAACAACAACGGCACCAACAACAACGAAAGAATTACAAACAACAAAAGACAAATTAACTGCATCAACAACACCACAAGTAACAACAATTGAAGCACCAACAACTACAACAATCTCAAGACCAATAGTATCTGAATCACCTAAAACCACATCATCAAACCAAATAAAAACCGATATATCAACACATACAACAACCACATCACAACCAACAACAACCACAACACCACAACCAACAACAGACACAACACAACCAACAACAGACACATCACAACCAACAACAACCACAACGCCACAACCAACAACAACTACATCACAAGTAACAACAACCACAACACCACAACCACCAACAGACATAACACAACAACCAACAACAGACACATCACAACCAACAACAACCACAACACCACAACCAACAACAGCCACATCACAAACAACAACAGCCACATCACAAACAACAACAACCACAACACCACAACCAACAACAGCCACATCACAACCAACAACAGACACAACACAACCAACAACAGACACATCACAACCAATAACAACCACAACACCACAACCAACAACAACTACATCACAAGTAACAACAACCACAACACCACAACCAACAACAGACATAACACAACAACCAACAACAGACACATCACAACCAACAACAACCACAACACCACAACCAACAACAGCCACATCACAACCAACAACAGCCACATCACAAACAACAACAACCACAACACCACAACCAGCAACAGCCACATCACAACCAACAACAGCCACAACATTACAACCAACAACAACCACATCACAACCAACAACAACCACAACACCACAACCAACAACAGACGCAACACAACCAACAACAGACACATCACAACCAACAACAACCACAACACCACAACCAACAACAACTACATCACAAGTAACAACAACCACAACACCACAACCAACAACAGACATAACACAACAACCAACAACAGACACATCACAACCAACAACCACAACACCACAACCAACAACAGCCACATCACAACCAACAACAGCCACATCACAAACAACAACAACCACAACACCACAACCAACAACAGCCTCATCACAACCAACAACAGCCACAACACAACCAAAAACAGACACAATATCACAACCAACAATAACCACAACACCACAACCAACAACAGCCACATCACAACCAACAACAGCCACATCACAAACAACAACAACCACAACACCACAACCAACAACAGCCACATCACAACCAACAACAGCCACAACATTACAACCAACAACAACCACATCACAACCAACAACAACCACAACACCACAACCAACAACAGACGCAACACAACCAACAACAGACACATCACAACCAACAACAACCACAACACCACAACCAACAACAACTACATCACAAGTAACAACAACCACAACACCACAACCAACAACAGACATAACACAACAACCAACAACAGACACATCACAACCAACAACAACCACAACACCACAACCAACAACAGCCACATCACAACCAACAACAGCCACATCACAAACAACAACAACCACAACACCACAACCAACAACAGCCTCATCACAACCAACAACAGCCACAACACAACCAAAAACAGACACAATATCACAACCAACAATAACCACAACACCACAACCAACAACAACCACACCACAACTAAAAACAGCCACAGCATCACAACCAATACCAACCACAACACCACAACCAACAACAACCACATCAGAACCAACAACAACCACAACATCACAACCAACAACAACTACATCACAAGTAACAACAACCACAACACCACAACCAACAACAGACACAACACAACAACCAACAACAGATGCATCACAATCAACAACAGCCACAACACCACAACCAACAGCAACCACACCACAACCAAAAACAGCCACAGCATCACAACCAACACCAATCACAACATTACAACCAACAACAGCCAAAACATCACAACCAACAACAGAAACAACACCAAAACCAACAACATCACAACCGACAACAGCCACAATATCACAATCAACAACAAGCACAACAGCACAACCAACAACAGCAACAACACCACAACCAACAACAGCCACATCACAACCAACAACAGCCACAGCATCACAACCAGCAACAGCCACATCACAACCAACAACAACATCACAACCGACAACAGCCACAGCATCACAACCAGCAACAGCCACATCACAACCAACAACAACATCACAACCGACAACAGCCACAACATCACAACCGACAACAACCGAATCACCAACAGTCACAACATCACAACCGACGACAATCACAACATCACAACCAACACCAGCCACAACATCAAAACCGACAACAACCGAATCACGAACAGCCACAACAACATCAGAACACACAACACTAACAACCGAACAATCAATTTATCGTATAACCGAAACATCAGCAGCAATAACAACATTTAAACCAACAACAACCACACCAACAACAACGAAAGAATTACAAACAACAAAAGAAAAATTTACTGCTTCAACAACACCACAACTAGCAACAATTGAAACACCAACAATCACAACAACATCGGACCAAACAAAAACCGAGACAATTACCAAAACATTTCTACAATCAACCAAAAACTCAATCATGGCTACGGAAAATACCATGCCAATAACTACCGATTCGAACACAGCGTCTTCAATTCAAGGTATGTCAGTAGAATTTTAAAGCCCTTTCAATGTGACACATATTTCAGTAGTGTTATGTTAAAGTTTCAATTAGAAATTCATTTAACATCTTCTCAAATTCATATCATTGTGTGAAGTTAATTCAATCTATAATTTACTATTTGACAATATTAAAAGTATTTAATTACTAATAAACTGCTGCATAAAAGTGAGATGACTAAGGATACTTTTGTTAACTATTTTAAATTTTGTCCTCTTCAACTGAGTGTGATGCAAATGTTATCACACTTGTATTTATGTCGAAACGAAATCAAATCTATATATAGAATTTATGCTTTATAACACTGATATGAGAATAGCTGAGTGTAAATGCAAATGTTGTCACACTTGCATTAATGTCGAAAAAATCAAATCTATGTATATAACTAATGTTTTAAAACACATGCACTTAATGGAATGATTCATGGGTTCACGTCCTTACCATGCATGCACACCTAAATTCTGTTTTTTAGTTTCGGTTTTTTATTTTGTATTTTCGTCATTTATTTATTAATTTCATTTTTTAAATTTTTGTTTTTTTATTTAGTTTCAGTTTTTTTTAATTCTGTATTTTTCTTTTTTTATTTAATAATTCCGTTTTTTATTTTTTATATTTTTTTTTAATAATTTCGTTTTTTATTTAGTTTTTGTTTGCACTATTGGGCTTCCGTAAGAACCACTGGGTAAGAAAAGATGAAACTTATGTAAAAGTTTCACTACATACCCTAATTTCAAGTTTGGTCAAATCATAACACCCAGGGGTAGGGCGGGGTCACAAGAGTGGGTCGAAGTTTTAAATAGATATAGGAAATATCTTCAATAACCTTCTTCTCGAGAACAGCAAATCCTTGATTAGTTATATCATTAAAGAAGTACCCTCAGGTAGTGTAAATTCAATTTTGTTCAAATCATGACCCCTGGGGTGTAGGGCGGGGCCACACCAGTGGGTCAAAGTTTAATATAGGAATATATAAAAAAAAATATCTTTTAAAATCTTCTCCTCAAGAACAACTAAGCCATTATTTTTTCATATTTATACAGAAGCAACCTTAGGTATTGTAGAATCAAGTTTGTTCAAATTATGACCCCAGGGATTTTGGGAACAACAGAGGGTCAAAGTTTTGCATAAGAATATAGAGGAATCATCTTGAAAATATCTTTTGCTCAAGAAGAGCAAAGCCATGAATAGTCATATTACGGTATTATAGATGCCTCCTCAGGTAATCTACAGATTCAAATTTGATCAACTTTAGGATGGGTAGGGTGGGACCACATTGAGTAATAAGAGATTTACATAGGAATATAAAAAAAAAACCTTTAAATTAAAATTCTTATGCTCAAGAATGGCAAGTCCATGATAAGTAATATTGATATGGAAGCATCCTGGGGTAGTATAAATTCACATTTGCCCCCCCCCCCTCCCCCCCTCCGTAAACTTTTCAATGCTGAACTGATTTCTGCTTTTTCTAAACCAGTGTTGTCAGGTGAGCGATGAGCAATATTGACCTCTTGTTTCAATGAGGTCTACCTGTCTTTAGAATTTGATTTCTTTTAAACGAAGCAATGCCTTACATTACAATTTGGTATATGGAATTATATAACAAAACTATATTTGAACTTTTGAATTTTATTCCGTTTTTGTGCCATTTATTATAGAAATGACCATAGACATTATAAAATGTATTTCTAGTGAATTCTCAATTTTGACCTTGCTTTTGTGACTTTGGATATTTTGATAAATATCATTAAATATTCAATTTTTGCAAATTAATTGAATTTATTCCTACAATATATCTACCAAAGTTGGTTATCATATGACGTGAAAGAAAAAAGTTGTGAGAAAAGACTACGTATTTTTTTTAATTACCCTCTTAAATACGATTATATCTGTAATAATAGAGATGTTACGTTAGTTTGTGAAAGCACTTTTTATTTAAACTGTAACTTCAATTTTTGTTAAATTTTGAAATTCTGTGTGGTCACATTTTATCTATTTGGAAATAAATGACATGAAAATGCATCAATCAAATACGAGAATACTTTAAATCGTCATTCTTTCAGATGTGAATCTCAAATGCAGCTTACAATAGTGTATGTTGAAAGATACATGTTCACGAGAAGAAAGGATTCAAATAGTCAAATTCTATTATTTTATAGTGCATATATATATATATATATATATATATATATATATATATATATATATATATATATATATATATATATATATATATATATATATATATATATATATATATATATATATATGGTTGTGCCATTTAGGAGACCGCTCATATTTATATATTGGCATTAAGTAGCCTCGTAGAATAAGTGGACCAAAACCGGTCGCCTTAACATTTTAATCCTCTCTGAACAGAAAATTAATGACTTTTTAATATTAAATTGACAATAGTTAATTTTAGTTTAGTATATTTTTGTCCCTTAAATACAAAAAATATGCCAAAATTTTATGATTATAGAAATTTTTAAATTTAAATTTCAAGCAACGTATATATTGGTATTATTATATATCGTCATTATGTAGACCAGCTAAAACTTGCAAAATTAAATAAGATCTGCTATATATGTCTGATTTCTCCTAGTATTTAGTTTTAGATATTGTTCTCCCACTAATTTTGGGTATGTACAATTTGCTAAATAGAATAAAACTTTTTACGAGAAAATGAGCTTTAGAGTTTCGTGTTCATCAACTTCAAGGTTTTCGTGCGCAATGCCTTCCGAAAATTTTCGGAAATCCTCGGTATCCTTTACGACCTTCGGAGAAATAGGAGTCAGACAAAATTTTGGTAAGTAATAACAAATTATGATTTTTTAAAAATACTTATTCATGATATATTGACTATATATTATGCACCCAATATCTTGCGGTTGACGTCTGGTATTTATTCATTGATAAAGACTTACGTATACTTATTAGCATGGAGGAAATTCGAATTGTAGTTTACCAACAGCGTGGTTTCAACAGATCGTTTGTTTGTTTTGAACATATTTTATTGACATAAGCAAATGGATCGGAAACAAGTTCTTACAACTTACTTGTTCCTAACAATTGATTACATGTACTTGAACAAAATAATTGTAATCTCTGCTTATTCATAAATATATACTGAATAGCATAATATTAGGCTGGTGGTATCGTTCTTGCGGAGATAAATTAAATATTCGATAATTTACCTGAAATACTAACTCTAATTTCCTATTATATGTGAGGTAGGGTTGGGTTGGAAATGGGAGTAAGGTGTTTCTAGGTTCAAACTTTTTTCACAGCCTAATCCAACCAGCCTTTCCTGAACAATTTTAATAGTAAAAGATTAATTGGGGGAGGGGAGGAGCCCCCCCCCCCCTCCAACCACGATACCACATCTCTGATGTCTATGGCAGCGGATACATACATGCATATATGTACATACAAATTTATGTATCTGACAGCATCCCCCTTAGATTTCTTGTACATAAAACATAAAGTTGATTTGGACAAGCCCAATATAGCAACAATTTTGAAATATCTTAAAAAATAAAGAGGAATTAAGGGCTATAAACTGCTAAAAAATTCAAAGGGACCAGATTAATATTTTTGATCGGGTTAGAAGTGGGGTTCGGGTGCAGGATGTGTGGAAATATTTTGTGTATATTCCATATAGGCAAAAAGGCTGTAGGCTACACATCATTTTTTTTTAAGGATAGAAATTTGGTTGGAAAGGGGGGAGAAAAGTTGATGATAAATGTTATCTATTAATTTCATTTTGTTGCAAATGCCAAAAAAAGAAGCATTTTTGACAATGCACATTTTTGTACCCATACTTACAGTCTAACTTTCTGTTTAAATGACAAAAATATTCCTATAGCTGGAAATAAAAATTAAGCCAAAATTTAAGTATTATATTAGGTCTGCATCAGCCTCCTTGCTTACCCATTATTTGCGCCTCAAGTTAAATCTGTGACATCACACTAGCCGACACATTACATGTAGTAGAAAGTAATAATATTATTATACGCCAATGATATTCTAAACAATCTATTACACTGTACCTTTTGGCATGAATGGAGGATTAATTAACAGGTTATATCAGAGATGAGCATATCAGTTAATAGTTATATGTATTACACTTTCCATGATTGAGTAACAAAAGATATACTGTATAATTCTTGCAATATTTTTTTCTATAATAGTAGACTCAGTTAACATCACCACCGTTAAAGAGTTTCGATCTACAGCACTGCTGATTTAATTTCTCAGATTTTATTAGAGATCTACAAGTACCTTTACAGGTCACTTAATTAGTACATGTATCTCAAATTTAATTGGGCAAATGAGAATTTTGTCTTTAACAACTTAAATGACTCAAAAATGTATTGCATGTTCAACATGTTCAGGGTAAATTATTTCCTTTATCATGAATTTATTCTAATTTTATGGGAGAATATATTTATAATTATGAAAGTACTAGTAAATCAGTCTACACATAAGTAAAAATTACCTCAACTATTTGAATTACTTTGCTGAATTTATTGCATTGTCTTTAATACTTAACAATCATTTAAAACTTTATTTCATGGCCGTAGGAACGGAGGGGGGTGCCCCCAATAATTTTGCCGAAATATAGAATACTAAAGAAAACATAGCTACTATATGCTTGTGCCCCCTCAATAAAAACGCCTGATGACTTTTTTTTTTTTTTAAGCTTGTCAAGGAATTTTTGGTTGTTAGTGTCCCCCCCAAAGAAAATGCATGGCTGTCCCCCCTCCCCCAAACTGAAATTGCTTCTTACGGGCCTGTATTGATTTTTTTTTAATGTTTCATTTATTTATAAACCTATTAAGTGTTTTCATTTTGAAAAGAAATATTAGAAGATAATCATAATTTCAGAAAGAAGTTGAAATTAAATAATAAAAGAGACCCTAAGAAAAATTGCTTGTTGTCATTGTCAAGCTTGAACAAGTCCTGATTCATATGAAACAGATCCTGATCAATTTAAGCATTTTTTTTTTAACATATAATGAAAAAAAATACTGTTTATCTTATGCAGTTGCCATGGAGAAATTAACTTGCTTATACTCTCAATTTAGTTATAAAACCATAGAACAAGCAATAATTTTTTTATTTTAATAAAATTGTTATGCAGAGTCTACATATATTACTTGTATATTTACATATGTAGATTAGAAACTTTCGGTCGGGTTCAGTTTAATTTTGATCGGGTTAGTTAATACATTGTTGAGTCTTTGATCAGCATGGACATCCGACATGGTTTGATGGTATGATAATATTTTTACAGTTTCAATTTCTAAACTTTCCAGGAAAGTTTAATTCCTGCATTTTGTACAATGGCTATATATATGCCGTATATTTTCCCATGAATTTTTTTTTGAAATTATATTTTTAAAATTCTGACAAGATTTCTGAGGAAATTTTTAACTGCCTAGGGTGAGATTTATGACAGTCTGAGACATTTTAAACCAAGTCTCTGAATAAATTAGATTTTGTTGACTTGTTTGCATTTATGCATTTATTTTTATTATAGTGTGTTCGGTACCACATAACATGCGAGAATACCTTCTCCGGTATGTTGGAGAGAAGATTAGCAAGAAAAAATCGCGTGAGAAAATGAGAAGTTGACAGAAAAAGATTTTTTTCATTATCGAAAGGGACATGTACAACATCCATAATGGTAAGAAAAGATAATTATTTATAGTCATATTTATTTGTTTCTATAATGTTTCTTTCGATAACTTTTCACTCATATTGAAAAGCCAGCACTTGAGAACCTCTGTACTCAGGACCCTTGAGCAATGAGTAATTTTGTTCATGCCAGCACCTACTACAACATGGGACCTCAGTTTCATTTGAACACCAGTCTCCACATCCTGCAGTGGAATTCGAACCTGTGATGTTAGGATCAACTCCTTTATCTGTGACTCTAAAGCAAACACTTAAACCACTGCGTCATGCAAGCAGCTAGTCATACATGTATTCCTTATGATGTGAGCTAGCAACTATGAAAATTACATGTGCTGTAGATCATAGGTTGCTACATAGTGCTTTGTATGTTGCGCTAAAAAAATATGGTGTTCATCAATGATTCATTTTGGTGTGCATCCTGCGTAAATTATGCACAAATTTTGCTCAGGACGCATTATTTTAATAAATGTGCATCCCAATGGACGCAATAAATTTATAGAAGAATGTGTATTATTTGGTATAATCCGATTTTAAACTTGACCGATTGCATCATATCCATGTGCTAAGCGATATGCATGAACAATTTTAACAGGTATATATAAGGTTGCCAACAACAGGTCAGATTTCACAATTGCAGCCAATTAACCAGCAATTATCAGAAAATATTTGAAAGTTAGATAACATAGTTCGATTATCACTGATTATGTCTATACTGTGGAACATTTCTGAAGCGAATACTATACCTTTGTAAAAGCTATACATGTAACCTGTATCATTTTTTTTTTTTTCCTTACAAGCTAAGAAGTTTAAAATTTAATCATTTTTATTTCCGACTGTTTTTTCATTTCTTCTTAAAATTTCTTTGCTTCATTCTGCTTCTGTGCATTTTATGACTGATACATTACAATGTGTGAGATCGTATGTACGATCTAAAAATAGAACCAAAGTGCACAGTTGACAATATATTATATTTATGACACAAAATCATGTACTCTTACTTGGACAATTGATAGTAAAATTATAAAACTACTCACAGCAACAATTAGGCATTTGCTCTTTCGTGAAATAACTTTTTATATTTCACCAGAATTTCCTCTGTAATCATGGTAATATCTAATATATGACCCTTGGATTTGGATGCTCTGATTTTGTCATGGGACTCATTGTTGTCATTAAGGGGGATCCTTTGGACCCATGATAACCATTTTCAAAATGAATCACTGGTTCATAGGTCTGGGACTAAAAGTTTATGAGGACATACTATCTTAATATCACCCACCCATTATCATCTGATCAGCATGATCAGTACTATTAAGCAGGAAAACAAATATTTGAAGAGACATACTGTAAAAATAATTTTGTAAGATCTTGGAAAACATGTAATTTTGGAAGTACATTGACATATAAGTATATAATTTTTTTTTGTGGATAACAGTTGATTAGGGTAGGTGGTCACTGGTGTGATTTTGACCCATTATCTGATTATTTTTCATACTTAACTTAAGTTTTGTTCGAGTATATGTCAGTGTTTGTTATGCTACAACGTTTTCTGGGTAATTTTCTCTATGGAATACCTTTTTACAAGATTTCTTCTTTTTTTTGGAATTATTTATTGAATTTGCGAAATACATGTGTTCGACTTACAAGATATATGTGTTGGGTTATTTCTAGTTAGAACAATCTAACTTTGTCTCGGAACAAGCCCTCGATCACCACAGTTAGAATATGTCCCATATACTAGCAGTGAAGCATATTGGAAAGGATCCGCTCAGAAATGATTTTGAAGAATACAAAAAAAATTGCACTGAAAATAACTATCAAATTAATCATAACAAACCTTTTTGAGATTTTATATGCCTTTTAACCTAAAAAATAATCCATAGAAATAAGAAAATTCAACTCATTTTCTCAACCTTTTTTCCTCGCTTCAAAGGACAAGGTATGGTAATGGCTGAATCTGGCCCCTTATTTGATGTAAAAATCAGAACATAGTTAAAATAGTGATAGTTTGTAGTTAAGAACTAAATTTGATGCTTGTTTTAAAACCAGCACTAATTTTGATTCAAAGCTTACACGGAGACCAGAAGAGGGTGCAGAAGTAGGACAATTTCCTGAATTTTCTCAATTCTATTGGAATATCCTCAAATTTGAGATACTTTTCACTTCGGGAAACATAGAGCACAAGCTTGCCTATCTGAGATTTTTATACATAAGATGCATCTGATACTATTATATGAAATATATAAATTTGGTAGATAGGCAAGCTTGTGCTCTGTGTTTTCTGAAACAAAATGTGCTGTAAAATCGATGAAAATTTGCATAAAATGAGAAAATTTGGAAATTGACATATTTTCTGATCTTCCTGTGACCTGTATGTATCACATAACTTAGAACCAATACTCATTTTCTGGCAGGGGTGACAACAGGTTTCTATTGATAAACTGTTGTATCATATTCTAAACAACACCCCAAACCAGGGGCCAAAAAGGGGTCTTAGCCTATCTTGTCCTTTACACGCCATGTTGAATTCGGAACTCTCTGGATTGTTCATAGAAAATGCAGTCAGTTCGAGTTATCGAACTTGCTTATTTTGATAAATTGCCAATACACGGAACGAATTCTATCTTTAAACCAGGTCCGTAGGACAATATCATTTTAATGATTAGAACATTCTAATCTAGATTATTGAGATCACAGCAACAATATATAAACAAAATTAAAATTGAAATTATAATTAGCATCATCTCTTTTAAAAAAAAAAATATAAATTCATATTATTTTGTAAAACCAAAAAATATTGGTTTAAATATACTGACAATAAAAAAAGAGACAATAATTCTCAAATTATGAATAACTTTAAAACATTGAGTGCACCTACAAGCACAGATCCCATGATTTGTAATATAATGCACACACAGGCATGTAAATCAAACATACAGATTTTCACTGATTAGCTAATATACATGTAGAACTAGTTTCAACTAAATACTCGTACAAATACAAAAGAAAAAAATAATTATTTTCCAAGCAAATAAAATGAAGAAATTAAAAGTTTTTGATTTTATTTTGATTTAAAAATTATCAAAGAATATTTAAGTCGAACTTCATGAAAAAGAAAAGCTGAAATCAAAATATTTGTATCAATTTAAATGTCATGCTTGATAAATTTTGGAAATACTGACAGATACACCCTTGCATAACACATATACATGACTAAAATTGTAAATTTTTAGAGACTTTGGATATGCATGGTGTCAAACTTTGTCTCATTTTAATATAAAATGAAAAAATTATAACCGATTAAAGATATTGTGATCTGTATTGTAGCATAAATATTGTGATACCTAATATAGTATATTAGATATAGAATAGTAGACGAAAGTGTATTATCCCAGCCCTTTATATTTGCAGTGCAGTATAAAACAGTTCAATTATATAATAATGAAGTCAAGAGAATATGGACATGATTATATGTAAATTAATAGATTTTGTTTTCATTTTTGCAGGTGTGTCTGATGGAATTCGTCATTTCATTAATAAATAATGCTGATAAAGATGCAAACTTAGCAATTGTGCCTAAAAAGTGCCAGCTTTGACAAGGAAATATATCCATATATAACAGTTACTGGTACTGTATGAATGCAGTGAAAGGATCCAGATGAACAGATGAAGAGATTAAGTACAATGTACATCAATTACTTGGATGAAGAGAATCTGCAACATGGGGTAAGGTATATTTGCTGCTTTATTAGTTATAAACTGTAAATAAATTGTTAGCAGAAAATAGACACAAAAGCTTTAATTAAAGCAAATCAGGGGTAAATACTAACTTTTAAAGCATGCAGATACTCAGTGATAGACTGATAGTTTGATAGTATCATAAAGACCAAAAGAACTTCAGTGACTTTGAATTCCTGATAGCCCTAGCTGTTAATGAACTAGTTGCCCATTACAGCCTTTGGCTGCTTATGGAGTCATGACGTGATTGTTGGGGGAGGAGGAAATGAATTCCCAGTGGAGATGGGTATGAAGGTTAAAAATAGGGCCACAAAGAACCAGGTTATGGTGAGGCAGACTTGCCTCCTTACATTTTATTGTAATTATTTAACCCTTCACTCTTTATGAGTGAAATAATTCTCGAATGGGACATAAAACAACACTCAATCAATCGGTCACACTTCACTCGCTGTTCACAGCACTTGTTGCTCTGTACTGGGCACTACTGGCTCACTTAAGCAGGTTAAGTTCAGTTTGGTGTTTACTAGTCTTTCCAATGATAAATAAGTCTGAAGAACATTTTTTGTGAGTCGACTGCACAGCAGTGCAACACCTAGGGATCAATTTACCTGGCATCTGTCTGTCTGTCCATCTGTCACACCTTATATCTCAAGAATTGTAAGAGGTTTAATTGTTTTTGATATTTGGTTAATATTTTGCTTGGCACTCTGACTTTTTTTAAATACCATGGTTGCCAATCTTGTGACCCTTGAACTTACCTTTGACCTACTTATAAAAAAGTTTAAAGTGCCAATATTCAGCATATTTTTGATAATTTAAAAGAGGTAAGTCTATGCTATTAATAGCATGTGCACAATTTATCATAAATTATAATGAAAAATACCAGCATTATAGTTCACTTGACTTTGACCTTTGTTTTACTTTTCAAAAAATATTTTGAATGGTTAATTTACCTTAAATGTTTTGATTTTCTAGAAGTAGTGTTTTGATAATTAGCATTGATGAGCTCATGACACTCTACTTTGAAACTTTTTGATATCCAGTTATCACACAAACTAAAACTTAAATCCTATGAAAACAAATCGGGATCTGTATACCACAATGGGTGGTAATGTAGACTGACAATTGCAGTAAAGACAGCCTGAAATCTCTTTAGAAAAAAACTGTTGAAAAGATTATTGACCATTATATGGTGACGTCTCTATTTTAGTGAAAAATTCTTAAACAGGATGTAAAACGACATACAATTAAACAATCAATCCAACTACTGAGTGAGCTTTCTAGCTTGTGAACTACCAATTATGTCCAATTGGAAGTAATATTTGAATGTTTTAAAATGTGATTGTACATTGTAGGAAATAATGTTCCCATAGAAAAGTCAAAGAATGTATACATGTGAGATTCTGAAGTAGCCGTACATGATGAGTAGGAATTTGAAGTGAATTATGGGAAAAGGTATGTAATCCATTAGATTTCTTTAAAGTTAGTGATTTTAAATCTGAACACACTGTGTAAAAGGAATTTTTTCGCCATATTCCTTTATTCACGCTATATTGTAGGGTCCCTATATAAGCCACTCACTTAGTCACTGTTCAGTGTAATCTGTTGTCACCTGTCTGTATAGACAGACTGACGTATGCTACATAGCTCTGGGTAGCGACAAAAAATTACTGTGTACTTCTTTCACGGCAGGAGAGAAAGTTGCCAATGAAACTTACAACAGTCCCACAGGTCAGTGCAGTATACAAACATACACAAGTACACGTAACTGCAATAAAATAAATAAACAAAGGCAATGCAAGATAACCAGCATGAGCATGTGTCACCATTCCACTCCGATACCTGTGACAATAAAGCAGTCAGGTGTAACAAATGCGAAGAGTATACCCTGGTGCTGATATAGTAGATGATATATAATCGAATGTGGTGTATGCCTATTTATGAGATGTGTCCAGCTTTAATTGATTGTTTTTCTCTGACTATATGTACCATAGGTCATAGTCATTTATGGTATATACAGTGGCGCCATGTTTATCCGAACACTTCACCTTCCAGATGCTATTTTTCGGGAATAGATTTTTTCCATGTCATTCTGTCTCATTAATCCAGAAATTCGTGTTCCACATCCGAACGGTCGATTTCTACTACAAAACGTAATAGTTCATTGAAAAATGACTCGTTTATCCAGATGGTAATTTTTCAAGAAATGACTTTTTCATACTTATCTTCAGGGGTTGAAATTTTCCTGGAAATCCCACTAGCCCAGGGGCTACTGATTAGGAAAAAATTACTAGCCCAAATAAGAAACAGTTCAAAATTAATCAATATTATTTTTAACAAACTTAAGCCAAAGAGGCGTCCGGATAAACAAGGCAGCACTGTATATATCTATAATACATGCATATAAATGTACTTGCTATTAACAGTGAGTACAGTAAAATTTTCCCATTAAGTATATTAATTTTTTTCTATGTGGTTTACTTTATGCCCAATTATCAGCAGTTTCCATAATTGCCATATTTAAGTATAAGAACTAGGTTGCTATAGCAGACAAAAGGTAAATATAAAAAATCTAAAGTACAAGGTACTTTATCACTGATTGAATGTTAATTAGGGCCTGCATGAAATGTTAAAGCTATATAGGATTCACATTGTCCATCTTTATGTCTTTCAGCCAGCAATTAACACTTCAGTTGTGACAAAATAAACAAGTTTTAGTTTATGCAGTGTAATACTATACAGGGTATTGATGCATACAGTAAATGAGATCATTAGAATGGTGTATTTATATACTGTATATACTTGATATCAACAATTTTTCTCAGTGGTCTACTTTATGCCCAATTATAAGTGGTCTCCTCAATGGCCATATTTAAGTATAACATATGTATAAGTACAGGTTGCTATAGCAGACAAAGGTAAATATAAAAATCTAAGTGCAAGGTACTTTATCACTGATTTAATGTTAATTAGGGCCTGCATGAAATGATAAAGCTCTATAGGATTCACATATTGTCCATCTTTATGTCTTTCAGTCCAGCAACACTTCAGTTGTAACACAATAAATAAGTTTTAATTTGATATGCAGTATAATATAATACAGGGTATTGATGCATATAGTGAATAAGATCATTAAAATGGTATATTTATATACTGTATATACTTGATATCGACTAGGGTTAATTCAATTTACTCAATTTTTCTCACTGGTCTACTTTATGCCTAATTATAAGTGGTCTCCTCAATGGCCATATTTAAGTACATGTATAAGTACAGGTTACCATTGAAGACAAAAGGCGTATACAAAACTCTAAAGACCATGATACTTTGATACTGACTGAATGCTGATCTGGACCCTTGAAAAGCACTTAGTCTTATTTATATGACAATGTGTGGTTTGATATAAGTTAACTGAATTACCTAGGTAACCATGGTAACATATTTCTATCTGTTTTTGGATGTTTTTGCATAAGCAAGGGCTTGGGTCATGCATAAACTTTTCACATTTTTCAACTTCTTCTCAAGAACTACTGGACAAGTTTAAACCAAACTTGTCACAAAGTATCTTTAGAATAAGGATGGCAATGATTAACTGGTTTATTAACTATTAAGAAAGATCATAACCAGTTAAAATTTTCATAATCAGTTTTGTAACCAGTTACAATTTACATACTAACCACTTAGTAGATACAGTAGCTGCAACGTTATTGTTGACAACTTACACGAACGATCACGTTAGATGAACGATTCCGCACGATTCACACACGATAAAATCTGTTACACGAACGATCCTTCACACACACGATTCTACACGTTACACGATCTTACACGATTGCTAACGGAAACGCACGATTCTTCACGCAAAATAGTTCAAATTCTTTAGGAATGGATATTTTCAAAAAGAAATAAGGCTTAATACTTATTTTAGATTTCAAATAATGATTGATTTTATTTCATCGACTTTGAAAAATGAAAAAAAAAATAGAAATGGATATTTCTGGAACTAAATACATGTAAGATTTATGAATTATTTTAGATTACAAAAAATTATTTATGTAATTCTCTGACTTTAGAAAACTGATTTTTTTTTTTCGTTCTATCAGAAGATGTACATGTTGGTGGACCGTGAGTTTTGATTGAATTGGATTTCATAATATGCAGAAAGGGACAAGTTTGAAAAAAATGGCATGAAAATGAATTAAATTATAAGTTATATCCACATTTCAATTTGTGAATCTCTAAAATCAACAATTATTTTACAAATCATTTATTTGCAGAAATTAAAAAAAATAATCAAAAGTAACCTCCAGAGATAACACTGATAAACGAAACCCCGAGAATCATGTCGTGTAAATGTACATTCACCGACTAAATACTTATGTAAGCATTGAGAATTATTTATTTGTAAAAATGTTTATTTTTGATCTATTGATTTTAAAAATATCTTGACCATAATTAGCAATAAATATAATTAACATCAGAGAAAAAAATCAAACATCTAAGTACGGTTTATCAGAAAAAAAATCATGCTATTTGACGAGAACACAATATTGTACGACTTACTATATTGTTTATTTCCAAGCGATAATTAGTTCATTCTGTTTTCAGTTATGTAAATCGCACTTCATTTCTTTTTAATTTGGATTGAAAAAAAAAACAGACAAGTGAAATGCTTGAATAACAAAAACATTCCAATAAAAACTTACAAAACAAAATTTACACGTTTCTTAACGCATGATCATGCACGATTAAAACCGCAAACGATTGAGTCTGATATACGCACGATCTCGCATGTTACACGAACGATCATGCATGTTACACGAACGATTCTACACGATTCTTTTGTCAACAATAACGTTGCAGCCA